GAAATCCGAGGGGTCCGGACCGCCGGGGCTCGCGGAGCGGTCGCCGTGCCCTACAGGACCATCGAGGGCACGGCCAAAGGCGGCGGCGAGGACTTTGAGGACGCTCGCGGCGTCCTGCGCTTTGACGACGACCAGATCTGGTGAGTGTGCCGAATCGCGCGCCAGGAGGCGACCCGGCGCTTTGAGCCCGACGTTTTGGGTGGAGATGGATGAGCCGCGACCGCTGGAGATGAGCCGCGGGAAAGGTGGGGGCGTGGTCTCGCTCGCCTCTCGGCCGCTAAACGGCTCCGCTAAGCGCTCCCGGGCGGGCAAATATCGCGACGGCTTCCTCTTAAGGTCGGACCTCGGTCCTCGGTCCTCGGACACGACATGACACCGCGCTCGGCTCGCAAACGAAAAGCCGAGGCGGCCCGCTCGGACGAGGGCCCGACGCGCGTCGGAAGACGGAGCGGTCCGTGAACCCGGACGAGCCGTCGTCTCCGCATTGGAAGGGCGGGCCCCGCTTTGGGGCTTTCGTCCCAATCGGATGGATCCGTTCCCCTCTTGCGTCGGTCGATTTTTTTCCCTCCGCTCCGTCCCCGCCGTCCTGCGCGCGTCGGCTTCCCGAAAGGAATCGGGCCAACTCCTTTCGGGCGCATCGCGAACAGCCGCGGGGGGCAGAAAGTCTCGAGTTGACTTTGATAGAACTCTTGCGCAATGCGGAGCCCGCCGCCAGGTCGCGCCAAGGCGGGCTTCGGAGGAGTTCGGGCAACGTTTGGGCGTGCGCAACGAGACTCGGGCGACGTCGACGGCTCGTTCCCGCAGTGCGCGCGTTGTGCTTTTGGGGGATCGAGGAGTCTTTTGCTCCCGGGTCCTTCGGGAGACCGACCGCCAATTTGGGACCGCTCGCGATCATTCATCAGCAACTCCGAGTAAGAGTGCCAAGTTGTCGGCGTGATTCGGTCCGAGATGTTGTCAAATATTTTGGACCCGCCCCCTCCCCCCAAAACACACACACGCACCATTCCGATATTTGCTCTTTTGCCGGCCATCTTTTGCTCGGTTTTGTGCCTTCCATCCCACCGGGTCCGAACGAATCCGCTGCGACTTTTTTTCTTCACGCCTCTTCTCTTTCCCGTTTTGCGTGTCGGACGTCCTCGCGGCCGTTCCGCTTCAAGAAGTCGGTGGCTTCTCGCTGACGGGTGGGTCGAAGAACGCGTACGGGAAGGGCGTCGCGTTAGCCGGCGGCTAATCGAGCGCCTTTCGCTTTGACAGACGAGCCGTCGTCGGGTAAGAGCCCCCCCTTTTTTCATCGCGACGGCCGGCGCTCCGCACCCGGACGCGGCCCGGTCGGGTGTACCGGGCGTCCTCTTCCCGCGAGCTTTTTTTCCGTCACGGCAGTCGTTTCCCTTCCCGGTCGCCGTCTGACAGGCGAAGAGCCGCTCTACGGAAAGCTCCGACAAGAAGACCAGCGCGACCCCTCTTCTGTTCGGACCATCTCAGGTACGGTTTTGCGCACCGGCGCGTCCATCCCACCGGCTCGCACCTCGGTGCAAGTGTGTGTGTGTGTGTGTGTGTCTCAGAGGAAGCCGAGGACTTTGGGACAAACGAGGAAGACGAGCGGCGAATCGCACGCGCGGGTCCGCCCGCGTTGGGCCAGCACGCCAAACTGGAAGTGGTCATTGAGGAGTCGTACGAGTTCAAGGTGTCGCCTTCGTCAAATCTCCAAACGACATCGAGGACGACGCAGGCTGCTCCTCTGGAGCTCACGTTCAAGAATTGATTGATGTACACGATGGCGCAATCCTGCGTGTGTGTGTGTGTGTGTGTGTGTGTCAGAATGCGGTGGACGAGGTTCTGAAGAAGACCAGACTGGCCGTGCTGGTCGGAACGACGTCCTGGAGAGAACAATTTGCGGAAGCCGTCACAATCGGCGCAGGTAAACAAATTCCGCGGTCGACGGGACGGTCAGACGGCCAACGGGCCGTCTCGTGCGGAGCGCGCTCCCGTACCGGCGACGCGGCACGCGGGGCGAGCGCTCGAGGACGACGGCTCACGGTCGCGATGGCCGGGGAGCGAAGCGTCAACGCCCGCGTCGGGAAACCGCTCCGCCGAGCCGTCGTTCGAAAAAAGAACCGATCGACGGCATCCGCCGGCGGGGCTTTGTTGGCTTTTTGCGCCGGCGTCAGCGGCAAGACCGGCGGCGATGACCCGCAAGAGCCAAACCTTCGGTAGCCGTCGCTCCGTCGACTGAGCCGCGGTCGACCGGCGCCGGGGTTCTCGATGGCGTCGGCC